AAATTTAATTTTTTTATTAAAAAAAAAAAAAAAAAAAAAAAAGTTTTCATTGTATATAATATATGGATTTTTAAACTTGGTTGAGCCTGTGCATAATACTGTAGGTACAATGATATTTTTTTCAGTCAGAGATAAAGTGGGAAGAAATTTTAGGGAGGGAATAAATTAAGTAAATTGAATGCAGTGATGACATGGAGAAAGGAATGTAGCCAACTGTTCTGAATATCAGCACAGGTAAGGACTGATTATTGAGATCAAAGATCTGATCTTAAAGTTGGTTGCTTCATCTACTTACTGAAGCTAGTTTCATACAGCTGATTACAGTTGTGCTTTTCATGCAGAGATGCTGTAGATCAATCTTCTTCATTGTCCCTGAAAAGTGCATAAACCAGGGGTGGGCAAATACAGCCCATGGGCTGAATACAGCCCATAGATGGTTTCTGTCTGGCTCACAGCAGGTCTGTCAGTCCTTCCTGTCCTAGGCACTGTCCAGGCATCAGACGTCCTGCAACCGCCTGGGCACGCAGTGGGACTGGGGTAGCTCTGCAGCTGGACTGCCTTTCTAGGCAGCCCTGGCAGTGGGAGTTCCTTCTGGCTGCCACTGCCACTGGCCCCAGCTTCGTGGTACCAGGGGTGGACCTGCGCACACAGCCCAGAATAAATAGACAGATACACACATAGATTCATAGATTGTAAGGCTGGAAGGAACCTTGGAAGATCATCGGGTCCAGCCCCCTGCACCAGACAAGAAAGACAACTGCAGTCAGGTGACCCCAGCAAGGTGACCATCCAGTCTCCTCTTGAAGATCTCCAAGGTAGATGATTGCACCACCTCTGGAGGGAGCTTATTCCACAGTCTGGACGTGCTGACTGTGAAGAAGCTTTTCCTAATGTTGAGTCTGAAATGGCCTTCCAGGAGTTTGTGGCCATTACTCCTGGTTTTCCTCAAGGGTGCTCTGGTGAACAATTGTTTACCGAGCCATCAATGTACTCCCCTAATGTAGCAATAAGCCTTCTCTTTTTCAGGCTGAAGAGTCCCAGGTCTCTCAGTCTTTCCTCATATGGCTTGCCTTGCAAGTCTTTGATCATATGGGTGGCTCAAAGTGCGGTGCCCGGAACTGGATGCAGTGCTCCAGCTGCGGTTTCACCAGTGTCGAGTAGAGCAGAAGAATCACTTTCTTAGTTTTGCTGGAGATGTCTTGATTGATGCATGCAAGAGTATTACTTGCCCTACTGGCTATAGCAGGGGTGGGCAATTATTTTGGGTGGAGGGCCGCTTACCCAGTTTTGGCAAGCTGTTGAGGGCCGCATGGGTAGCCCTGCCCCCTGGTCACCATCTTGGGACCAATGTCCCAGGGGCAGCATCGGTGGGGCCCAGAGCGGGGCGCAGGCTGGCAGGGGTCTGTGGAGCTGGGCGCAGGCTGCACCAGCAGGGAGAGGGGTGAGCTGGCCCAGCTCCATAGAGCCCCTTCCGGCTGGGACCACCCTGCCACCCTGCTCTGGGCCCTGCTGGTGCTGGCCCTGGGACACTGGTGCAGGTCCTGTGCTCCCGCACCCGCTCACTCCCAGTGCCCCCCCGACCCCACGGTACAGGTGGGGGTAGTGCACAGCCCCGATCCCCTGCTTGCCGGCAGGGAAGGAGCTGGTGCAGAGTGCAGGGAAAAGCAGCCCCTCGCCCACCCCGTGGCCATTGCTCTCTGCTGCAGCTGCTTGCAGCCTACACGGGGCTATCCTGAGCAGGCACAGGCAGCCCCACGCAGGCTGCAAGTGGCTGCAGCACAGGGCACCAGCCATGGGATGGGTGAGTGCCCGCTTTTCCCCCCACATTCAGCACCAGCTTGTAACCCACCCCTGCGCCAGCTCCAGGCTCACCTGTCAGGGCTGTGCCGCAGCAGCTGTGGCCCCCCTGCTTGCCAGGAAGTGTTTGGTGCTGCTGCCTGCCCAGAGCTCGTGTGCTGGGCAGCACAGAGGCAGCAGTGGCAACTTCACCGCAGCCTACCACGGCACGAACTCCAGGTGGGCAGGAGCAGCAAATGCTGCCCAGGGCGGCAAGTGGGGGGGGGGCCGCAGCTGCTGCCACCACAGCACAGCCCTGACGGGCGAGCCCGAAGCCAGCGCAGGGGCGGGTTACAAACTGGTGCTGAGTCTGGGGGGAAAAGCAGGCCCTCCCCACCCCATGGCCAGCACCCTGCGCTGCAGCCGCTCGCAGCCTGTGCGGGGCTGCCTGTGCCTGCTCCGGACAACCCCGTGTGGAGTACCAGCCACAGGGCAGGTGGGGGACCGCTTTTCCTCATGCTCGGCACCAACTCCTTCCCTGTCCTTCTCCCCCGCCCCCTTACCTGAGCTTCCCGTGCCAGGACAGCCATGTGATCCCAGGCCAGAAGCCCCTGCTGAGGCTTCCGGATGGGGGGGGTGGGGCTGGGCGGGTCCTACTGTTGCAGGAGCCTGCTGAGGATTCCCCTGGGTCCTACTGCCCCTGGGTCCTCTCATTTTTGACAGGAACCAAGGACAGATGCATTTTAATTTTCAAAATTTTTTTAGGGGCCCCATGGGCCGGATAGAATAGCCTTGTGGGCCGGATGCGGCCCACAGGTTGTATTTTGCCCACCGCTGGGCTACGGCGTCACATTGCCAGCTCGTATTTATACAGTGGTCTGTTATTACCCCCAGGTCCCTTTCATTCATGGTACTGGTCAGTTTGGCGCTGCCAAGCCTATAGGTTTGTAAAGGATTGTTCATCCCCAGGTGGAGTACTTTACATTTCTTGATATTGAAATTCATCTGGTTCTAATCCGCCCAACTTGCCAGCCTGTCTAGATCTGCTTGAATCTGTAGCCTATCTTTAAGCGTGACCATGCTTCCCCATAACTTGGCCAGTGAGCTCTTCACCCCCACATCCAAGTCATTGATAAAAATGTTGAAAAGTACTAGACAAAGCGCTGACCACTGTTTTGACACTGCTGGCCACTTCTCACCAGGACAACACTGATCCGTTCATTAGGGCTCTCTGAGTCCTACTCTACAGCCAGTTTCCCACCCACCTGACTGTCTCAGAGTTAAGCCCACAATCCTCCAATTTTCTCACAAGGACATTGTGGGATAGCAGATCAAAGGCTTTTTTTGGAAGTCATAAGTAAGACTTCATTTTGAGCTATTATGCAATCACCTCTATATACACAATGCAAATGCACACAAATCAGGACAAAAATATTTTTTAAAAATAAAATTGAAATATGTTATTGTGGATGTTTTATTTTTAGTATATAATTTGGGGGTTTTTGGTTCCATGATGACAAACCCCTTTCCCAAAAAGGAGTACTTCCAGGGGCAAGGGGAGGGACTTCCATTGGCAAAGTTCACGGGTTAGAGGGCGGGACCTCTGCTCCCAAAATGGTGACCAGGCGGCAGGTCATCTGTTGGAGGGTGGCGGGCTACCGTTGCAGCCCTTGACAGCTCACCAAAACTTGTTAACCTGCCCTCCAGCCAAAATAACTGCCTGCCCCTGACATAGATGGTTACTTTTCATTCCTAACACAGAGACTGCAACTGCTTGAATCTTCATATTGAATGTCCTGATTATCAGTGGAGAAACACCTCTGTCTTATCATGTTGTCCTTTTCAGAAACTTACCATGGTCCATCTTGAAGCAGCCCAAGTTCTTTGTCCTCACTGCTTAAAATGTTTTCATCTTTACTCCTCTACAAAATACAGATTGCCCTCTACTTTACAATCTGTATTTGATTTTGTGCCAATATTATTCTTTAATTTACATAGCTCCTCTTCCTCATTTTTACCCTGTGAATATATTTATAAATGTAATTGCAATCCTCTCTGTCTTTGTTTTGGTAACTAAACAAATCAAGCTATTTTAATTTAATCTCAGTCAATAGATTTTCCGTTCTGGTGACAGATACTCTGTATCTGTTCCAGCTTAAATAAATCTTTTTATAAGCATTAGTGAGCAGAATTGTATATGGTATTCTAAATGGGGTCTTACCAATGCCTCCTATTGTGGAACTAGCTCTATGGCTGATAATGTACCTAGAACCACAGCCTAGAATTTTACTGGCCTTTTGCATAAAACTACATGATTATTAGCTTGCACTGGCAGGTCATGGTCATCTGATGACTAATCAGTATAGCCAGGTCCTTCTATTCCCTCATTGCCTCCGTTCTATGAGTCCCCCATTCTATGAGTCCTCCATCTAAAGCTCATGTTAAAAGTTTCAGAGTGCATGATTTCATACTTCATATCATTTCTAATGCTCCAGTCTAGAAGGTTTTCTAAATCTTCTGGTAGAGCGTTCCCCATATTTGTTATATTTCCTGTTTTGTATTTTCCCTTAAATTTCATAAGCCCAGATTTAGTTCCTGTGCCACCTTTGCTAATGAAAATGTTAAAAATGTTGGGTCCCAAGACCCTGTGAAACACCATTAATAGCAATTCTGTGATCTGATAATTTACCTTTCAACATAACCTGTTGTATGCCCCCTTTTTATCCTACTTCTTGTCCATCTCATGATTATAGTATTGGTCCTCATCCTTTCCTATTTAGTAAATAATTCCCTCAAGGCACAAAGTCCAAAGCGTTGCCTAAATCTAGAAAAGATTGGTTTCCCTTGTCAAAGCAATGCTATTCTGTAATAGAAGAATATTCAACACACCCCAAGAAAATTCACATTAGATCTTTTATTCCATGTTGTTTATTTCCATGCTTTGACTTTTTCTTTTTTTCAATATCTGTTCTAAGACTTTTTTGAATAATATTATAAGTCAAAAGCC